CCCACACATTTCCATATTCAAACTGGGACATTCTCCAATATTGACTTGTCAGTTGGCTCACCTGATTCCCAGTTGAATTTCACTTGGCAGGTCATGGAAGACTTACACGGAAGTGACCACTTTCCAATACTTTTGGAAGAGGTGAATGGCATTCCAGCCATTGGAGTGCGGAGATGGCGACTTGAACATGCAGACTGGAATCTTTTTAAATCAACTGCAGTATTGCAAGGATCTGTGAATGATTTCCAGTGTGTTCAAGATGCTGTTAATCACTTCACATCGCGGATTCACCTTGCAGCAGAAGCATCAGTTCCCAGAAGTAGTGGGCAGTACCGTCGACCTCCGGTACCATGGTGGTCTGATGAATGCCAACAAGCTGTCAGAGCAAGAAAAGCTGCATTAAGGCAGTTGAAACGACGCCCAAGCGATGTAACCTTGATCCAGTACAAAAAGACCAGAGCCAAGGCCAGGCGAGTGCTAAAGGAGGCTAGACGGACATCATGGAGGCAGTATGTCTCCTTGATTAACTCTGGGACCCCCTTAGCATGGGTATGGGACAAGGTGCGTAAGATCGCTGGAAAGAGCACATCCATATCACCCCCTGCTCTGAAAATAGATGGCATAATCCTCACAGACAAAACAGATGTTGCAAATGAACTGGCAAAATCCATGGCAGAGATCTCGTCTGGAGCATCTTACACTGCCCGTTTCTCCACTCTTCGGGCTGAACAGGAACGACACCCACTGTCGTTTTTCAGTAGCACTGCAGCAGAACTTCCATACAACTTGCCATTTTTGCGCAAGGAGATGGACTCTGCTTTGCAGCTCTGCCGTAAGACTGCCCCAGGAAGTGACGGTATTCCATACCAAATGATATCTCACTTACCAAAGAGCTCCCAAACGTTCCTGTTGGATCTATTCAATAGGATCTACAGGGAGGGAACAGTGCCATCCACATGGAAAGAAGCTATAATCATTCCTGTCCCTAAACCTGGCAAGGATGCTTCCATACCAGGGAATTATAGACCAATTTCTCTCACCAGCTGTATCTGCAAGTTGATGGAGAAAATGGTAAACTTCAGGTTGACATGGCTGCTAGAAAAAAAAAACGTGTTGACCCCATATCAATATGGGTTTAGAAAACTGAGATCGACCACAGATGCACTTGTGAGGATGGAAACTGCTATACAGAATTCCTTCACACAGCGACGCCATATGTTAGCAGTCTTCTTTGATCTTGAAAAGGCTTATGATACGACTTGGAAGCATGGCATACTCATGAAGCTGTATGACATTGGTTTAAGAGGAGCACTGCCAACCTTCATACAAAGCTTTCTTGCTAACAGTAAGTTTAGAGTGAGGGTAGGAAACAGCTTCTCTAACCTGGAAGATCAGCTGGAAGGGGTCCCACAGGGAAGTGTCTTAAGTGTGACCCTGTTTGCCATTGCTATAAATGACATCGTAAAGGTCGTTCCAAGTGCTGTCTCATGTAGTCTGTATGTGGATGACTTTACACTATACTGCTCAGGAGGAAGCTTACAGGATGTGCAAGGACACATGCAGACTGCAATAAATCAGGTTGTGCAATGGGCAACATACCATGGCTTCAAATTTTCTCCAAGCAAGACCATGGCTATGCATTTCCACAAACGAGGAAAGTTTCACCCTTCGCTCTATTTAGGAGCAAACCCACTACATTTTGCCCAAAAGATAAAGTACTTGGGTCTATTTTTTGACTCAAAGCTTACATGGGTGCCTCATATTAAACAGTTAAAGGTGAAAGCTACAAAAGCGCTTAGTATTTTGCGGGTTCTTTCACACCTATCTTGGGGTGCAGACCGCACAACGCTTCTGCGACTTTACCGAGCACTTATTCGTAGTAAACTCGACTATGGATGTGAGGCATATTCATCTGCAACTCCCACTGTTCTTCGGATGTTGGACTCGGTTCATAATGAAGCTCTGAGAATCTGTATAGGGGCTTTCAGGTCTTCACCTGTGGAGTCCCTGTATGCTGAGAGTGGAGAACCACCTCTTTCATTACACCGGGACTACATGAACCTGATTTATTACACGAGACTACAAAGGATTCCGGGATCTCCTACATCCAGATTGGTTTTCAACCTCCTTGAGGATAGCCGATCCTATGGTAGGAGAATGAGGAATCTTGTGGAAGATCTTAATTTAAATCTCACAAAGGTTCTGGCTGTTGGAACTTCCCAAGTCCCCCCTTGGACTAATCAAGTCGAGCTTGATTTGGTCAGAATTGGGAAAGGGGAGAGATCCGAAGCAGAAGTCAGAGAGATATTTCTTCAACACACTTCTAAGTACCAGGGATCATATGCAATATATACAGATGGTTCGAAATCTGAAAATGGTGTGGGCTTTGCAGCAGTGAGCAGAAGGAAGACTGCATCTGGCAGTCTTTCTCGATCAGCCTCGATTTTCACTGCAGAGTTACATGCCATCCTTGCAGCAGTCAAGATGACTAGAGATCTTACAAACCATTCTGTTGTAATATATTGTGACTCTCGTAGTGCCTTGCAAGCAATCAAGAGCTTAAACTCATCACATCCAGTGGTGAGGGAAGTTCAAGATTGGCTTGCACTGATGTCAGCACGTAAAAAGATAACTCTGTGTTGGGTGCCAGCACATGTTGGTATCAGTGGGAATGAGCGAGCTGATCAGAAGGCCAAGGCAGCTGCCGCTCAGCCTTGTGATGCTCGTTTTCCTCTCCCACACACTGACTTGAAACCCAGCATCAGAAGTTGTCTTCGTGATGACTGGAGGGAACAATGGAGGCATACCTCTAGAAATAAGCTACGAGAGATTAGAGATGACCTTGGCAGTTGGGTGACCAGCATCCATCATAACCGACAGTTGGAAGTTGTATTAACAAGGCTGAGAATTGGGCACACAAGACTGACTCATGGGCCGATGATGGCTAAGAGTGAAGCACGCTGTGAGGGATGCCAAGAGCCATTGACGGTCGCGCATATGGTGGAGAGATGTGCAACATTCTTAGACCAAAGACGAAGGAACTTGTCTCCCCCATATACATTGAAAAATGTTTTGGGGGAGGATTGTGACATAGAAGGTCTTATTAGTTTCCTTAGGGAAACTAATATTTTCAATAGAATTTAATTATGCATAATGTTTATGCAATAGTTTTTTTTTTTTTTTTTTTTTTTTTTTTTAGAGCATAATATTTATGCTTTGGTTTTTAATATAATATTTATTGTTATTTATGACATTTATTGATAAATTTCTAACGTTTTAAATATTTTAATGTTTCAACCTAACAAGGTGTTCGCCGCTAATGACCTTAGCTGTTGACGCGGCAGATAATTTTAAATAATTAATCTTCGTCTGTGTTTATACGTCGTCTTACAACTTCCGTTTATATGTATATATACACATATATATGTATATACATATGTGTATACATATATATTTCTATGACTGTATATAAATACATGATTATGTTCAAGATGTGTGATATTGCACCAAATAAAATGTATGGGCTCTCTCATAGATATACAATGAGGAAGGAAATAAGATTATTTCTGAACCTAATTTATTTCACATTTATTGATTACATCCATGAGATTCACAGAAAATAAGTATCATATATAAAATTACTAAATGGTTCTTCAATCAACAGATATTAGTCTATCGAGCCTCCTGGTAGCTTAAATTGAAGATGTAGAACTTTCTTAAAATCAAAGACTGGTAAGAAACATTCCAATAAAACTCAATGAAAATGTTGAATCAGAAATGAATCCCAACGAACTGCTGTGTATTCATGGCTTCAGTGAAACTATTACAATTATATTGATTAATATAAATACGTATATTCCTCTTAGCCTAGAAAAGTGATCTTAACATCTTTACCTTTAAGAATGTGATGAAAGCTATGGATCCCCTTCCCGAAATATAGTCATATAAACAAAACTTTGCCTGGAATGTGTATAATGCACTTTATTTACTTCGATTTGACTGTCTCATGCATATATGGGATATACAAAGTAGTAAGGGACTTTAAAGTAAAGATCCTAAAAAAATCACTCCTTCTTATGAAAATACTATAGCGAATATTAATGTTATTTTTTATCAGATCCTCACAGACCCAAACATCTGGCAAATCACTCGAACCCTCGGGTACGCCGAATCACAAAGTCGCTTTTATTCTAATCTGACTTAATACTTGTGCCTACATATGCAGAAGCGGCACTTTATACATATGTATGAATAAAACACTATATAAAAGTACATAAAATAAAATCAACTAAAAAGTAGAAATAAATAATACGATATGTGTTTATATATACATATATATCTATCTATATATATGTATGTATACACAATACATATACATATATACATATATATCTCTATAAATACGTATATGTATACATATATACATATAAATATAAATATATATATACACAAAATATACATATAAATACATATATATGTATATGAAGATATGTATATGTATCCATATGCATATATGTAGGAAAATCTTTTAACACCTTGGTGCCGGGTATGACGTGTACGTACGTTCCATGCCCACAGTGAGTACTTGTTTGATTGTTTTTATGCATAGATGGCAACACTTGTACTAACTCCCCAATGAGCCAGGTACGAGCACCGCCCGTCTCGCCCGTTTACCCGTTTCTTTGATTTACAAAATATTTTACGTAATCTTATTTTGCTGTTACTAATGTTTAAAAAAAATTATAAAAATTATAATGTTTATCATAAAAATAACACCATCGATTTTCATAGCACTAGTGAAAAATACGTTTTTCCCGCCATTTAAATCAGGCACTAGCAGAGCCATCTATCGGCAGACCTTTTACGAAAAACAAAGTGGGCACAATATTTTCCCCATTTTTTGTTCATTTTCCCCGGCACCATTGGGTTAAGAGCGCACCCATTGTGTATATGTAAATGTAAATGAATATGTATACACACACACACACACACATATATATATGTATATAAAATACAGGGGGGCGCTTACAAAAGATTTCCCTTGATCCCCTTCCGCTTATCCTGTTTCACATGCATAATGATACATATCTCTATGGGTTATGTTTTAATGTCCAGTCCTTAATTCATAGCATATTTCTATACTTGAAAGATGAAATGATGGCAACTTAGGGAGAGGATGCCCCATCATATGACTTTGTTAAACATTGGCATCGCCGGTCTGGTGTGATCGGAGATCTATGGAAACGGATCCTGCGACAGGGCGACCCCAGTCTGTTATGGATGAGGGCACCATTCATCAAGTGGATACTACTAGTTTGGAAGACCTGACTTCCTTCCTAATATCTAATACCTTTGTTTGTATATCGTCAGACAGCATCTAGTCTCACTGACCATCAAAACCATAGATATCATTAATTGTTTCTTCTCCATAGTCCATGCTACCAGGATTTTCGTCCGTCATGGTCTCCTTGGCTAGAAAAAAGGTAGGACGAATTAGATAGGATGGAAGTAATAATAATAATGATAATAACGGTGATGATCATGATGATAATAATGATAATTATAATGATAATAGTAATGATAATTATAATGATAATAGTAATGATAATAGTTATGATAATAATGACAGTTAAGATAACAATAATGATGATAATAATAATGATAATGATTATAATAATAATGATAATGATTATGATAATAAAAAACACTGATACTAATGATGATGACGATGATGATGATGATAATAGTAATAATAACAATAATTATAACAATAGTAATAACGATAATAATATAGTACTAGTAATAATACTACCAATAAAAGTTATAATGACAATGATAGTAATAATGATAATATTAATAATAATAATAATAATGATAATAATAATAACAGAAATAATAGTGATAACAATAATGATAAGGATAATATAATGATAATGATAATAATAAAAATCAAGATGATAATAATAACATTGACATTAATGATAATAATCATGATAATAGTAATGATGGCGATGATGATGATAATGATGATAACAATGATAATAATAACAATAATAATAATAATAAAGATAATAAAGTAATAATAGCAATGATAACAGTGATAATAATAGCAATATTAATGATAGTAATAACGACAATAACATTAATGATAATTATGATAATAATGATAATAATAAAAATAATAATAACAATAATAATAATGATAGCAAGCAATAAATAGAATGACTAATTCTCGCACATATATAACTACCTGCGTAGTTATATATCCACTTAGTAAACAAAAGAACGTGAAGCAAAAATCCTCATTTGCATTTTAAAGATGTTCCGTTTATAGTGATAAGCTGTTGCCTCATAGACTCAAAGAAAAGTAAAAAGGCTGTTTTATTTACCTCTATTCAGTTCAAGCACATGAGAGGCAGGATAAGCTCGACTTCTGGACGAGTTTCTCTATTATGTAAAAAAAGGTAAACGTGATATATATATTTTTTTCTTCCAATAGAGCTTGGTGATTTTTAAACTCATATTCATGTTAATAATGGGCATATCTTTGTATAAATTATGAGCAATTAAAGAAAATAAGTGGTGATTGAAACTGTAAATACAAACGGGATACATTACCCTTATACGCAGAAGGTAACAGAATAAAGCAATGGTTGTAATAATGAAGAAAGTCAGAAAAACATACAGGATTGCGTTGTTTCCACCACAGTTGCTTTTACCTGTAGAAATATCAAATAAGCATGAAATATCTTCAGGAGAGAAATATGCACTATACAACATATGTAAACTCCATGTGTTATTCTAAGTATCCTTCGTCTAATCTCGGGAATGAAGATAATTGTCTCTCTCCGGACTCTGTGTCACTCCGATTCGCTAAGTCTCTTTTGGGAAAATAGGAAGTGGTGTTGAAGGCAGCAAATGTGATTACTAAACAAAAAGGAAATAAACGTCGGTATAAGTTTTAGAATTACAAAATCGATGTAAACGCTATTTAATTCTTCTTTCACCAAAGAACTTTAACGAATCAGAGTACTCCAGAGTGTTGGGTGAACTGACACATTTAACTTTCCTGAGACTGGACGCCCTAGAACTAAACTGGAAAATGTCCTCACACTCATTTTGGCTGCCCGTGCTCTGGTCTTGGTCCTGAAGATGAGTCCAGTCTCCCAGAATCTGCACAACCCAGGCCTTGCCTCCGTCAGATTTCATCTTCATCAAGCCATCTTTATTTGCATTGGTACTATTTACTGTTCTGAGAATGCGGCCATCAGCTCTCTGTTGGAGATGGGAATTTAGATATTTCCCTCTTATTCAACTCAGTTAAATCCAAGATCCTTGAATATTCACACTGGACCCACAGAGGCCAAAAATACATGTTTGTACCTTGATCTGCTGCGACTCGTAATCCAGTGTGATCTTGTGCTCCTCGTGAGCTGACAAGGCTTGACAGTCTTCCTTGTTCGTCTTGACCGCTGTCTGTTTTCCATCCCAACAAAGATTAAGGTTTTCTCCAAATATGGTCAAACTAACAGTCAGGTTCTCTTCTGGAATAACGGCAAAATGTTCCCTGGTGGAATTCCAGCGAGGGAAGTCGATCGAGGTGTCTGAGGTGAGCTCTTTATTTGGCAATCCTAAGAATCATTATAAAGGAAGTATGCTAGAGATAAATAAATACAAAAATGGATATCTATATTTACAAGCACATATAGATTCAAATATATAGATATATATGTATATATATGATACGAGCAGATAGTTTAATGTAAATATAAATATTTATCCATAAACTCCCACACGGTCACACACATACATACATGTATATATACACACATTTGCATATGTGTGTGTGCGTGTTTTATATATATATGTTTATGTATATGTATGTGTATGTATGTATGTATATATACATATATAAATATATATACATACACAGGGGCATCATTTCAACTTTTTCATGGTGGGTTTGCGAAAGAGACAAATTTTTCTTTAGAAAAATAAGCTATTCTGTGGGCAGTTTTAAGATATAACCTATATAGGTATAATATAAGCATAATATAAGTATATAGGTGTAATATAAGCATAATACAGTAAAAAAACTGCCCGACCGCCATCATCAATTGACGTCTTTATATTATTTATATTTACATATATGAGGGGCATTCATTAAAGGTTTCCCTTGATCCATTCCCATAGACATACAGAAATCAAATGTCATACAGTTATTAGTCTTTATCTACAGAGGTCCCATCAAGTGACTTCAGAAATCAGAGTCTCATCATCTTGGAAACGTTTGTCCTTGAAAAAGGACTTCATGGACATAAAGAGGTGAAAGATCAGGAGAACAAGGACGATGAGGAATGATGTCAAATCCACAGGACCACACATCCATCTGGGCAATGTGAGTGTTGTAAACACAGGCGTTGTCTTGTAGGTTTTTGAACACCTTTGGTCAACATTCCGCTCCTCTTGCATTTGTTATCAATGCGGGATTGCACTACTCCATCTCACCTCAGTACATCTGACTTAGGATTTGAATTGCTAAATCAATTTCCACCGAGTGTCCACGTGGAGTGTGTAAAACTTCACTTTCAGTACAATAGTATGAGTAGATATGGTAATATCTATGGAGCTAGTGAGATCCTAGTTTTACACTCCTTTTAGTGGGTTTTGTGGTTTTGTGAGTTTAGTTTGGTCTTCTGGTTCATTCCTGGATAGACAAAGGTTTCAGTCCTGGTCAGGAGGGTTGTTATTCATCGATATGAATGCGGCATTGGATTACTCCATTTTCCATATGTAAGCATATATATGTAAATAAATATATAAATATATATACATAAAATATTATATACAAGCATATGCATCTTTCTTCAAGCCATATGTACCAAACCCTATGCGGTGTTTCCACTGCCAGGGTTATGGGCATGGAGCCAACAATTGCCGTTTTAAGGAAAATGGACAACCAAGAGTGTGTGTGAGGTGTGGTACAACAGGTCATCAAGGAGATGACAACTGTCCAGGTCCAATATGCTGTTATCACTGCAAAGAAGATCATGAAGCTTCTTCTAAGCAATGTAAAAGGTACAGATTTGAAAAAGAAGTATTGGTAATAAGGAACAAGGAGAAAGTTAGTTTTGCAGAAGCAAAGCGACGTGCCCGTGTGCTATTTGCACAGCCGGGTAAGTCCTTTGCTTCAGTTCTAGCCTATCCTCCTTCCCGCCATCCCTTTCCCTCCAATACTTCTAATACCACACACTCTGCCACTACCGTTAAACATCAGTCCTCAAATGCTGAAACTGATTCTGGTGAGTTGGTCCACCAGAAACGAAGTAGGAGTGATGGGTCTATTGAGGAGACTCCTCCTCCCAAAGTAAGGTCTTTGGAGCCATCAGTTAAGGCTCCAGAGACCTCAACGGTGACAGCTCCAGCTGCCACCACATCCACAGGGGCCTCTACTGCTAGGAAGAATGCCCCTGAAGCAAAGGCTCAGGCACGTCCTTTGCACAGGCAGAGGAATCCTGAGCCTGTTCAAAAGACTCCCCATAGAGTCGGGTCTTTGGAGCCACCAGGCAGGGCTCCAGAGGCCACTACATCCACAGGGGCCTCTGTTGCTAAACAGAATGCTCCTGAACCAAAGGCTCAGGTCCGTCCTTTGCCCAAGCAAAGAAATCCTGAGCCTGTCCAAAGAAAGCCTGTGGAAACTAGTTCCACAGGTAAACAAACCATCAAAAGGTTTTCCCAAGATGCTGGAAAGGGACAGCCTAAAGGTGTGGGGCGGACCTTAACCACAGGTGCTGCCAAACACCTAATGAAGTAACTTGTCAACCTGAAGAACTGGATACCCTAATCCAATGGAATTGTCAGGGAATTCATGCAAAATGGGAAGAACTGCAACATCTGATAACTTCTTGTAATCCAGTTTGTGTATGCCTACAAGAGATTATGATCAGGGAAAATCGTTTAATTTCCCTGAAAGGATTCCAAGTTCAAGCCCATTATGGGACCTTTGATAATGGACCTCATGGAGGAGTAGCAGTGATGGTACGTCAGGATATTCCCTTCCAGGCCATCCACCTTCAGATGACACTGCAGGTGAAGGCCGTGAGAATAGGCTTGACACGACCTTACACTGTTGCATCCATCTACCTCCCTCCACATAATCTCAACATAGATGATTTGGAAGATTTACTTGGACAGTTGCCTCATCCATTTCTACTCTTGGGAGACTTCAATGGTCGCCATCACCTCTGGGGAGACACTTTGTGCAATCCTCGAGGAAGGGCCTTGGAGTCTTTATTCTCAAGAGTAGATGCAGTTTTACTGAACAGTGATGCACCCACACATTTCCATATTCAAACTGGGAAATTCTCCAATATTGACTTGTCAGTTGGCTCACCTGATTCCCAGTTGAATTTCACTTGGCAGGTCATGGAAGACTTACACGGAAGTGACCACTTTCCAATACTTTTGGAAGAGGTGAATGGCATTCCAGCCATTGGAGTGCGGAGATGGCGACTTGAACATGCAGACTGGAATCTTTTTAGATCAACTGCAGTATTGCAAGGATCTGTGAATGATTTCCAGTGTGTTCAAGATGCTGTTAATCACTTCACATCGCGGATTCACCTTGCAGCAGAAGCATCAGTTCCCAGAAGTAGTGGGCAGTACCGTCGACCTCCGGTACCATGGTGGTCTGATGAATGCCAACAAGCTGTCAGAGCAAGAAAAGCTGCATTAAGGCAGTTGAAACGACGCCCAAGCGATGTAACCTTGATCCAGTACAAAAAGACCCGAGCCAAGGCCAGGCGAGTGCTAAAGGAGGCTAGACGGACATCATGGAGGCAGTATGTCTCCTTGATTAACTCTGGGACCCCCTTAGCATGGGTATGGGACAAGGTGCGTAAGATCGCTGGAAAGAGCACATCCATATCACCCCCTGCTCTGAAAATAGATGGCATAATCCTCACAGACAAAACAGATGTTGCAAATGAACTGGCAAAATCCATGGCAGAGATCTCGTCTGGAGCATCTTACACTGCCCGTTTCTCCACTCTTCGGGCTGAACAGGAACGACACCCAGTGTCGTTCTTCAGTAGCACTGCAGCAGAACTTCCATACAACTTGCCATTTTTGCGCAAGGAGATGGACTCTGCTTTGCAGCTCTGCCGTAAGACTGCCCCAGGAAGTGACGGTATTCCATACCAAATGATATCTCACTTACCAAAGAGCTCCCAAACGTTCCTGTTGGATCTATTCAATAGGATCTACAGGGAGGGAACAGTGCCATCCACATGGAAAGAAGCTATAATCATTCCTGTCCCGAAACCTGGCAAGGATGCTTCCATACCAGGGAATTATAGACCAATTTCTCTCACCAGCTGTATCTGCAAGTTGATGGAGAAAATGGTAAACTTCAGGTTGACATGGCTGCTAGAAAAAGAAAACGTGTTGACCCCATATCAATATGGGTTTAGAAAACTGAGATCGACCACAGATGCACTTGTGAGGATGGAAACTGCTATACAGAATTCCTTCACACAGCGACGCCATATGTTAGCAGTCTTCTTTGATCTTGAAAAGGCTTATGATACGACTTGGAAGCATGGCATACTCATGAAGCTGTATGACATTGGTTTAAGAGGAGCACTGCCAACCTTCATACAAAGCTTCCTTGCTAACAGGAAGTTTAGAGTGAGGGTAGGAAACAGCTTCTCTAACCTGGAAGATCAGCTGGAAGGGGTCCCACAGGGAAGTGTCTTAAGTGTGACCCTGTTTGCCATTGCTATAAATGACATCGTAAAGGTCGTTCCAAGTGCTGTCTCATGTAGTCTGTATGTGGATGACTTTACACTATACTGCTCAGGAGGAAGCTTACAGGATGTGCAAGGGCACATGCAGATAGCAATAAATCAGGTTGTGCAATGGGCAACATACCATGGCTTCAAATTTTCTCCAAGCAAGACCATGGCTATGCATTTCCACAAACGAGGAAAGTTTCACCCTTCCCTCTATTTAGGAGCAAACCCACTACATTTTGCCCAACAGATAAAGTACTTGGGTCTAATCTTTGACTCAAAGCTTACATGGGTGCCTCATATTAAACAGTTAAAGGTGAAAGCTACAAAAGCGCTTAGTATTTTGCGGGTTCTTTCACACCTATCTTGGGGTGCAGACCGCACAACGCTTCTGCGACTTTACCGAGCACTTATTCGTAGTAAACTCGACTATGGATGTGAGGCATATTCATCTGCAACTCCCACTGTTCTTCGGATGTTGGACTCGGTTCATAATGAAGCTCTGAGAATCTGTATAGGGGCTTTCAGGTCTTCACCTGTGGAGTCCCTGTATGCTGAGAGTGGAGAACCACCTCTTTCATTACACCGGGACTACATGAACCTGATTTATTACACGAGACTACAAAGGATTCCGGGATCTCCTACATCCAGACTGGTTTTCAACCCCCTTGAGGATAGCCGATCCTATGGTAGGAGAATGAGGAATCT